AAATGTAGAACCAACAGAAATGAATCTTGGGGATGAAAGTTTCTTTTTTTGGACAAAAAATATTCCTTTTTTTTCTTCATCCTTTGCATTGGAAGAATAGACTAAAAAATTGATATGATTCAACCTCAGACCCATTTAAATGTAGCAGATAACAGCGGGGCTCGAGAATTGATGTGTATTCGAATCATAGGAGCTAGCAATCGTCGATATGCTCATATTGGTGACGTTATTGTTGCTGTGATCAAAGAAGCAGTACCAAATATGCCCCTAGAAAAATCAGAAGTAGTCAGAGCTGTAATTGTTCGTACCTGTAAAGAACTTAAACGTGACAGCGGTATGATAATACGATATGATGACAATGCTGCAGTTGTGATTGATCAAGAAGGAAATCCAAAAGGAACTAGAATTTTTGGTGCGATCCCCCGGGAATTGAGACAATTAAATTTTACTAAAATAGTTTCATTAGCTCCCGAGGTATTATAAAATGAGATCACTGATATGTTTATAGTGGGTATTTGAAAGAAATAGATTAAGAACTAGATTAAGAACTAGATTAATTAGTAGATTGTGTCTCACGCATATACCTTTAATAATTCATATTCATAAAACAAATTAAGTAAAAAAAAAAAGAAAAACATGTTGATTATATCCAATTTTGGGGCACCCATAATTTTAGTTCACCATGGGTAGGGACACTATTGCTGAGATAATAACCTCGATACGAAATGCTGATATGGATAGAAAAAGAGTGGTTCGCATCGCATCTACTAATATTACCGAAAATATTGTGAAAATACTTTTCCGAGAAGGTTTTATTGAAAACGTTAGAAAACATCGAGAAAAAAACAAATCTTTTTTGGTTTTAAACCTGCGGCATAGAAGGAATAGGAAAAGACTCTATAGAAATTTTTTAAATTTAAAACGGATCAGTCGACCCGGTCTACGAATCTATTCTAACTCTCAACGAATTCCTAGAATTTTAGGTGGGATGGGGATTGTAATTCTTTCTACTTCTCGAGGTATAATGACAGACCGAGAGGCTCGACTCGAAGGAATCGGCGGAGAAATTTTGTGTTATATATGGTAATCCTTTTAATATCCAAATTGGATCCGAAACTTCTTCCTATTTCTAAAAAAAAGAAAAGGGACGAGTTGTCTAATATCGTTCCTCCTCCATTAGTTGATACTTCAAGGAGGCTTTACCTGGAATGAAAGAACAAAAATGGATTCATGAAGGTTTAATTACTGAATCGCTTCCCAATGGTATGTTCCGGGTTCGGTTAGATAATGAAGATCTGATCCTGGGTTATGTTTCAGGAAAGATCCGGCGTAGTTTTATACGGATACTGCCAGGAGATCGAGTCAAAATTGAAGTAAGTCGTTATGATTCAACCAGAGGACGTATAATTTATCGACTCCGCAACAAGGATTGGAAGGATTAGGTGGTTTTTATTCAATATGATTCGAGATGAAAAATTGCAAGAAACTTATTTTCTTCCAAGAAGTAGATTCAGAATTAAGATAAGGAATGACAAATATGAAAATAAGAGCTTCTGTTCGTAAAATTTGTGAAAAATGTCGCCTAATCCGTAGGCGGGGGCGCATTATAGTAATTTGTTCCAACCCGAGACATAAACAAAGACAAGGATAATCAGACTCACTAAAGGACTCGATGTAAAAATAAGGAATCTGTTTTGACATGAAATGGATATATCCATATATCTCTGACTCATATTTATGAGATGATAAAATATGGCAAAAGCTATACCGAGAATTGGTTCACGTAGAAATGGACGTATTGGTTCACGTAAGAGTGCACGTAGAATACCAAAGGGGGTTATTCATGTTCAAGCAAGTTTCAATAATACCATTGTCACGGTTACAGATGTACGGGGTCGGGTGGTTTCTTGGTCCTCAGCGGGTACTTGTGGATTCAAGGGTACGAGAAGAGGGACACCCTTTGCCGCTCAAACTGCAGCAGCAAATGCTATTCGTACAGTAGTAGATCAAGGTATGCAACGAGCAGAAGTCATGATAAAAGGTCCCGGTCTCGGAAGAGACGCAGCATTACGAGCTATTCGTAGAAGTGGTATACTATTAACTTTCGTACGGGATGTAACCCCTATGCCACATAATGGTTGCAGACCCCCGAAAAAAAGACGTGTGTAGAAATAAACATTGAAGAAATTTCAAGAGAAACAAGAGAAATAAATGATTCAATCAAATCAAATAATATTACTATGGTTCGAGAGAAAGTAACAGTATCTACTCGGACACTACAGTGGAAGTGTGTTGAATCAAGAGAAGACAGTAAACGTCTTTATTATGGACGCTTTATTCTGTCTCCACTTATGAAAGGTCAAGCCGACACAATAGGCATTGCGATGCGAAGAGCTTTACTTGGAGAAATAGAAGGAACATGTATCACACGTGTAAAATCTGAGAACGTCCCACATGAATATTCTACCATAGCGGGTATTCAAGAATCGGTCCATGAAATTTTAATGAATTTAAAAGAAATTGTATTGAGAAGTAATCTATATGGAACTTGTGACGCGTCTATTTGTGTCAGAGGTCCAGGATATGTAACTGCTCAAGATATCATCTTACCACCTTATGTAGAAATCGTTGATAATACACAACATATAGCTAGCTTGACAGAACCAATTGATTTGTGTATTGGATTACAAATCAAGAGAAATCGCGGATATCTTATCAAAATGCCACATAACTTTCAAGATGGAAGTTATCCTATAGATGCTGTATTCATGCCTGTTCGAAATGCGAATCATAGTATTCATTCTTATGGGAATGGGAATGAAAAACAAGAGATACTCTTTCTCGAAATATGGACAAATGGGAGTTTAACTCCGAAAGAAGCACTTCATGAAGCCTGCCGGAATTTGATTGATTTATTTATTCCCTTTTTACATAAGGAAGAAGAAAACTTACCTTTAGAGGACAATCAACACACGGTTCCTTTATCCCCTCTTACCTTTCACGATAAATTGGATAAACTCAGAAAAAACAAAAAAAAAATAGCATTGAAATCGATTTTTATTGACCAATCAGAATTCTCTCCCAGGGTCTATAATTGCCTCAAAAGGTCCAATATATATACATTATTGGACCTTTTGAATAACAGTCCGGAAGATCTCATGAAAATTGAACATTTGCGCCTAGAAGATATAAAACAGATATTGGTCATTCTAGAAAAACATTTCGCAATTGATTTACCAAAAAAGAAGTTTTAAATCTATTGGATTTTTTTTTTCGTCTTTTTTTTTTTTCATTAAGATGAAAATAGGTTTTGAATCTTTAGCACAATTCATATATTCGAAAGAAATTCAGAATTGAATAGATGTATCTAGGGAGAATTCGCTTTCAAGCGACTATTCCCTAGATACACACGTCGTGTTATTTCACAATTGAATCAAATTAAAAAAGACCTAAAGTTAGGGATTTATCAATAGGTAATGTTGCACCAATACCCAACCAAAGAGCGACTGCAGTACCAATCAAAAAGACGGTTGTCGCTACTGGACGACGAAATGGATTTTGGAATTTATTAACATTCTCTAAAAAGGGTACTGTTAATAATCCCGCAGGTACTGAAACCATTAAAAGAACACCCAATAATTTATTGGGCACTGTACGAAGTATTTGAAATACGGGAAAGAAATACCATTCAGGTAATATTTCCAAAGGGGTTGCAAACGGATCTGCCGGTTCACCAATCATTGATGGTTCTAGAACCGCTAAGCCTACATTACATGCAATAGTACCTAGAATTACTACTGGAAAAATATATAAAAGATCATTGGGCCATGCGGGTTCTCCGTAATAATTATGACCCATACCTTTAGCCAATTTAGCTCTTAATACAGGATCATTCAAATCAGGTTTTTTTGTTATTGGGATAGGTGAATTCTTATAGATCCATCCCCCGAAGGAACCGGACATGATAATTTTTTATCATCCGGCTCGAGCAAGATTCAAAAGAACCAAATGAATCCATAAAAAATCTATATGTTGCCTATATACACATATATGATATACACATATGAATGATTCAATGTAAGAAAAATTTGACTCTTTTTCCGGAATTGCAACTACCCATTTCAAAAAATTCGGTTCTAAGTAAATACTCAATACCCAAGTTGGCTTACAAAGTTGATCATGATATGATCCAGTGCTTTCTGGGTCGTCTCAGACCTTACGATTGGTATTTATCTCCAAAATATTTGGAGATATACACACAAAAGGTTTACTTGTTACTAATCTAGTCTAGCCTATGTTTTTCTTTAAATCCCTTGTTTCACTCCGATAGTATTATCGATCATATCAATGCAGAGGAAATAAATGCATTTCCATACTATTCAATTTTAAGTATTAAGTAAGTGAAATAGATAAAGATTCTGTTTTAGTTTATCCATTTCACTTATTATAATTATACTGGATCTTACGGAGCCTGCTCATGTACAACATGATTCGGTCTGATCATAGAAAAGAATCTCTTCAAGTGAACCAGCCTATCTTCTGTATCGGGCTTACGCGACGGTTGGAACAAAGACACATTTGGTTGTGAATTCCAATGTGGCAGACATATATCTACACAGACCAATCAATAGTTCAAGTCACACACTCCCATAATCCATTTTCTCTTCGTAGAATTCCCTTCAACTCTACATTTATTTGACATGATTGGTTGAAGGGAAATATCCAAATACATGGATTATTATTTTCAATAATCCATACTTGTAGCAATGAAATACTATTATTCCTCCTCCAAGTGATAAATGATTGATTACAAATATCTATTATATATCTTCTCTATAAAGGACCAGAAATACCTTGTTTACGTATCATTGGAAAGTGCATTAACATAAATACAGCAGTAAGAAGTGGCAATACAAAAGTGTGTAAACTGTAAAAACGAGTCAAAGTGGATTGTCCCACACTAGCACTTCCGCGCAATAATTCTACCAAAGGCGATCCTA